TACTTTCGACACGTCTATATTTTTGAATCATTACAAAAACTACATATTTCATAAGTGAATGCAGCTCCCTTCTTCTGGTTGGAACACTCTCTACTGTGTTCATACCCCCGAGTGACTTAAACAAGGTAAGCGAAATGCATTAACAAAGCAAAGTGCCGTGACAGTGTGACCTCAGGCTAGGCCTGGCTTCCCACGAACTCAAGAGTTGGGTGATCCCAGGAAGCACGTCATGCAGCGAATACAGAAGTTCGAACACAAGCTGGGCCAAAATTAAGAACATCCCAAACGAGATGAAAGCCGGCACCAGAGAAAACATTTCAGGTTTATAAAGAAGATGAGAATGCCAGGCTCTGTCTCCTTCTCTTCCTCAAGAAGGAAAAGCTAACTGACTTGAAAATACCGAGACTCGTTTGAACAAAACATTCCTGACATTGAAGAGCAGCTCCACAAACATGCTCCAGATCTGAGGGGATCTCAAAAGAACTTCTGTTATCAATGTAATGTGACAGAATGTGAGCTCCCTGAGAGAAGAGGCCCGAGGTGTCCTTTTTTCCACTGTTCCTCAGTAATGGGAGGTGTGCGACAGACGTCTATTGAATGTGGAAGAGATAAATGTACACATAAAAGATTCAACTAAGAAGCAATGAAATGCAAACTAGAATTAGCAAGCAGGTAATATTAGCTCTTATTCCTTCTTTACGGATGCAAAAAGAGAGGAACTTTGATTTACTCAGCGACAGCAAAATTGGAAGTAAAAAGCCTCTTGATTCCCTCTATTGTGACACCTTTTGTCTCTTTTAGGTTTCTTGGTTTATCTCTTGTGGTCCTTCCAGATCCTAATTTTCCAGGAGCCTTTCCTGACCCACTCCCAACCCCACTCCTGCACCCACATCCACCCTAAGACCTTGAGGGTCAGGTACTCTATGCTTGGTGCTCCCATAATTTTCTCGTTTATCATGCTTGTTACACTAATTAGCAATCATCTATTAATATGTCTGTGAGCTCCTCATGGAGGGTAGGAATCCTGCCTTATTCACTCCCACTCCTTGCTCCTAAAACCTAGTACAGTGCTTGGTATATAGCAGGCAGTCAACTAAGTGCTGCTAGGGTTGAAAAGAACCTGTTGCCTCTCCCCCTGAGTCATTTCTCCTTTCAAAGAGCGAGGGATATTTTTCTGTTGAGGAAAGAATTTCAGAACGGAGGCAATTAAGGGGTTGGTCAAGGACAAACACTTAAACACAGAGAAAGAAAACTAAGTATAGCAGACTTTAAAAGGAATGGTTCAGTCTGGTAGGCGTGGCTCAGTGGTTGAGCATGGACCTGTGAGCCAGGAGCTCTCGGTTCAATTCCTGGTTACAGGCTCGATCCCCAGTAAGGGGACATGCAGGAGGCAGCCGATCAATGACTATCTCTCATCACTGGTGTTTCTCTCTCTCTCCCTCTCCCTTCCTCTCTCTGAAATCAAATATAAAAAATTAAAAATTAAATTAAAGAAAATAAAAAGGAATGGTTCATAGTAGCAGTCTCTGTATAGTGAATCCTAAAGAGGCATAGGCACACAGGATGGCCATAATAAACAGAATTTCCTTTAACTAACAGTTCCACTTGGAAATCTCACCCCAAAGAAATCCATGATCAAGTGTTACTAAACTTTCTGTTTCTCTTTTAGAGAAAGAGGCTGATTTTGACATCATTTCCCCTTATCTCCATATTCAACACAATGAACACAGCCTGATCTACCTCATTCAGGCTTACACATGTTTGCGTTAGCACTGGACCAAAGTTAAGAGTCTGCCCTGCTATTATACCACTTTTTAAAAACAGTGCCACAAAAGTAAAATAAATTATAACCTAAATCCATGCATGCAGTAAAATAGTCCTCTTTCATTTCTGGAAAAAAAAAAATCACTTTTACATGAACTTCAAGGTTAAAATTTCTATAGCACAGATGACAGTAGCTACCATTGAAGTATTAAAACAATTTTCTTTGCCCCATCCCTGTAAGTTATTAATAACAACGGCAACAATGCTACTTTGAAATAATACTAACCTGCTGGAAAAAATGCCAGGGAAAATAATCCCTTCACACCCCTCTCTTTCCCTCCAAAAAAGTGTATCCTTCTAATAAATACAGTATACTAACCTTGGGCTCCTTCACTTAATTAAATGACCAAACAAGCCAAACCCAAGTTTCCTTGCAGAGATTAAGCAAAGTACTGGGAAGATCAGTCATTCAAATTGTATTCAGAAGATAGTAAAAAGCAGCTGACCTACTCTCCTTTCATTATCTGTCTCCTTGGTAACCCAGCATTTCCAGAATCAAGGGCAATAAAAACATTTATCCAAATCAACTCCACCTTGGACATGCCCCCTGACAAGCCATCCATTCCTACCCATGACAGAGGTATTGGGGTGTGAGAGGAAACCTACAGAGCTGCTAAGCACCTCTCCCAAAAGGATCCCACAGACATTCTTCCTATACAAGAGATAATCAGCTAGACACCTGAGCGCTAGAGATTTGGGCGGGGGGACAGGGAGCAGATGACCAAAAAGAAGGTTGTTAAAAAGTATTAGTCTACAGTATTGAGCGGGCCACTTCTATTGGAGGTTAAACTTCATAGAGGATTTCCAGGGTTGGGTCAGCCCTCACCGTAGTACTCGGGGTGCTACTCACTCCCCACCTCCACCCCTCCATCATCACCCCTCGCTTTACAAGGGCATTAACCTCAATTCCAAACTAATAATAATTCTTTCTCTTCTGTGCTGCAAATAGTCAACCACTGTGGTTAAATACTATGTGTAACACAAACAGGGTCAAGAATGCTGGTTGCCACTGGAGTCATGTTTAAATTAGCATTAACCAGCAGGCCCTTCCCTAAACAAAACAAAACAAAACAAAATGCCTCTTGGTCAGCTCTGTGCCTGGAGAGTGACTTTAACTCACATGCTCAAAAGGCCCAGACATAACACAATAGCATCATTAATTTTTACTAAATTAAATTTCTAAAAAGTAGGAAAAGCTCTATCAATTGGGGGCTAGAGGAAGAAACCACATATTCATTTATTCTGCAGTCTTTATATAAGCTGGATAAACTAGCAGCAGTGCCCTAGAACTCACTAGCCATGAGTTTCAATGGAATTTAATGGGATAAAAGCCCAGTCACCTCTCAATCATGTCACCCCTCACTATGCCCCAATATGTGTCACTCAGTGTCTTGCTGCATGTTGGGGTTAAATAATACTTTCCCCTCCCCATCCCCACATAGCACAACTCCTTAAAATAACTTTCAAGTTCCCCCGTAATTTACCACCTTATATCTTTCCAGCCCCCATTACCCCAAACTCCAACCACATCTTCACACACACACACCCCACCCCAACATTCATCTTTAAGAGATGATCTTTTTCATCTTTCAAGTCCTTTTCAGAAGTCTTCCCCAAAGTCAGAATTTAATTTTCCACTCCCTGGCATGCCAAGGTCGTTGGATTCTACAGCTGCTGCCCAGTTATGCAATCCAGCTGCTATACTGAAGTTAGCTGCATCTTTTCCCTCCCACTGCAGCTCCTTCTAGACTGATTCCTCCTTTTCATCAGACTCATATCTCCACTAGAGGAAGAATTCAGTAATGGCTCATTGAATTAAAATTTCCTCTTTTTTCTCACAACTTTATGATATCCATAATAGTTCTCCATGAAACAGTTAACTAATACTTTTTGGGTAACATAAGTAAAAATAAGAAATCAAACAGGAGCATGATTCCAAGTCAGCAAGGCCAGAGCAAACTTTCAGACTTTAAACCAAGAGCTTATGTTCAAGTTTTTACTACATCACACTTCACTTTTAAAATAAATCATGTTCCTCAAGTGAGTGTGTATACTGGTACCAGAAAAATTAAAGAAAAGAAAGACAGGCCACACATCAAGTACAGACATTAAAATCTTGACCTCAAACTAAATTTCAAAAGTCTTATGATTTCCTGAACACTAGGAGCTTCCCAATAAAAATGAGTGTATTCTGCCCAGATTGCAACTTTCCCTGCAATGCATTTGAAATAAGGTTTCTGGCCCTAATAGTCACTATCAGACTGAATGTCATTATGTATCAAAAAGACTCAGCAAGCAAGGATTTTACTTTCTGTGAATTTTCCAGTAGGTCTAACAGAAGAGATTCCATCAAACCTTGAAAATACTATGGTATAATTTTTTTAATCAAATTACTCTTTGGAAAACATTAACTTGAAATGAAAAATGGAAGTTTCAAAATGCAAGTTGCTGGAAGGGCTGCCACTCACATCCCCACCTCTGTTATTTTTTTCCCCATCATTCACAGGGAAATTGAGATCCAGGCTGAGTATCCAAAGCTGGGGGCAGCAGCTGACCTGCTAAGAGGCAATAATGCAAATAGAAGGCGCAGAGGTCAGCTGCAGGGATCACCTTGATTTTAAAGCTAAGCAGCTTCCCACATTTTAAATAATAAGGGTAATCAAAGATTGATGGGGGAGGGACTGTTATTGATGCCCTTGTGGAGGAAGAACGAAAAAAAGAGAAAAATGAACTCCCAGCCCAAGGCTTTCCCTGCTCCAGGCAACTCCTACAGCTGCTTTTCCTTGCCTCCCTGGCCCTCCTGCCCTCTCACTCCCACTCCCCTCCAGGACTCACCCCTTCACACTTCCTCTTACCCTGTTCCCACTGTTCCAACGCGGATAAGCACCCACCAGTCTCTAGTTACTCGGGGAGCTGGAAGGAACTGCAAAGATCATCAAACCCCCTTCCATTTTCTAGGCGAGGACCCTGAGACACAGAGGAGCTGACCGGACCGGCGAAGGTTGTGCCACTAGGGGACGCGCGGTGCGCTTGCGGGCCTGGGGTGGGACACCGGGTCCCGCTGCCGCGCCCCCCACTCAGCCCGCGCCTTCCCGCCCTACGCCCGCTGCTTCTTTCTCTGGCTACTCGGCTTCTTTAAGGAAGAAAGTAGCAAGAAAGCAGCAGCCTTAACATACTTGTAATGCTGGCTGTTGGTAACAATCCTGTGCTGGGGGCAAATATGCTCACTCCTACCCGGATCTGGAGGATCGGGGGCTGACACGACGAGCCGGCGGAGAGGGAGGTTGTGAGTAATGGAATTTAGTTCTGTCCAAACGACAATAACTCCAGGATATACACCCTTTTTCACTGGGGCTCACTCTTCGGTTTGACAAGGGACCATCTCCTTCCGAGACGTTATCGGTGTTCCCCGCGCAGGGTCTCCTCCCTTTGGCCAGAATCGCTTTGCACCGCTCACCTCGCGGTGACGCTTCTGCCTGGCGAGCGATGCTTAGTCACATGGGTGGAAAACACGGACTGTTAGAGCCTGAAGGAATAGAGGGGTTTGCTCGAATAACTGCAAGTTCATGCTTTCAATATTCACTTTTGCAAATGTGTGTCTATCTCAGTGGGAGTCAACGCATTCACGGGAAAAGTTTAACAAGCGAGCACTCGCTGGTAAACCCACATTTACGCAACCTCCGTGGCTTTCAACAAAAAGGAAAAGAGGGAAAGAGCAGACACAGCAGCAGGAGGCAGCAATCTCGGGCCCCAGCCTGCAGGCAGCACGTCCTGGATGCGTCCTTCTTACGCTGCAAAGGCCAAGGGGCAGCAAAGAAAGACGAGAAAAACTTTTAAATCCATTCCACACGAACTAGTCCTACACAAACCAAACAAGCCCGTTGATTTCAAAACCTCCGACTCAAAGCCAGGTCCCTCCCTCGCCTTACATTTTCCAGTTACTTGCTAAGCGTGTTGGCTAAGCGGCTGGACAGAAACTTAAGTTTCAAGTCCGCAGCCCAGGAGAGGCCGCGGTCCTGGTCGTCGGCGAGGAGCAAGTGGGGCGGGAGCTCCCAGCGGAGGGGCGCGAGGACCCTCGGCGGTGCACCGCCACCCGGGCGCGGCTCTGGGGGAATCTCCAGCGCCCCCGGCAAGCCTTCCCGAGCCCCCACCCTGCCCCAGGTAGCCCGAGGCCACCTACGTGTCACTTGGGCGGGCCCCGGGACGCACTGACCTGGCCCGGGGACAGGAGGGCCGGCGGCCCGGGCGGTTGCGGCAACTTCCCTCCCGGGACTCGGTCAACTGGTTGGTTAGGGAGGCCAAGCCAGCCTCGCCTCCTGC